TGGGCAAATCTGCTGAAAAAGACCTCTTTAAAGTGTTAAAGAGCAAAGATGTCACTTTGAAGACTAGGTGTGCCTGACCCAAGCCATGGTGTTTTCAGTAGCCTCATAAAAATGTGAAAGCTGGACAATAAATAAGGAAGACTGCAGAAGAATTGATGCATTTGAATTGTAGTATTGGCGAAGAATATTAACTGTACCATGGACTGCTAGAAGAATGAACAAACTTGTCTTGGAAGATTTGTGGCCAGAATGCTCCTTAGAATCAAGGATGGTGAGACTTCACCTCTTGAACTTGCAACATGGTATCAGGAGGAACCAGTCCTTGAAGAAAGGCATCATACTTGCTAAAGTAGAGGGTCAGTGAAAAAGAGGAAGACCCTCAACAAGGTGGATTGACACAGTGGCTGCGACAATGGGCTCAGGTATAGCAGTAATTGTGAGGATGGCGCAGGACCGGGCAGTGTTTCCTTCTGTTATACATGAGGTCGCTATGGGTCAAAACCACCTCCAGGGCACCTAACAGCAACAACAACAATCTTTACTATTTGAGACTGTTGTTGTTGTTATGTGCCGTCAAGTCGGACCTGACTCATAGCAACCCCTCCTTGGGTTTCTGCAGCAGTATCACTATGGAGGTAGATTGCCCAACCTTCCTTCTGAGGATTGGCTGGTGGGTTTGAACCGCCAGCCTTCTGGTTAGCAGTCAAGTGCCTTAGGCACTATGCTACCAGAGCGCCTAAAAATACAGTTATAAAAATAGGGTTCACATCATACTATCAAGTTCTCAGCTTTGAATTCCATGATAGTATAGAAGTGTTTTTATAGGTATTTATCAACAACAACAAATGAGTTCTTTGTTTCTCCCTCAAATCTATTCCAAATTTCTATTGTTTTCATTGACACTGCTCTAATCTTCTCTATACTCTAGGCTCTCAGTGGAATAGTGCTCTAATCTACCATCTTAGAATGTATAAGGGCTATTCAGTAAAGGGTGTTAGATTTTTGCACTGGCAGTTCACCCTAGGCTAATGAGCTGATTATAGTCTTCCTTCTTTGCTTGCCTTCCTTCTAAAAAAAGCAAATTAACTTTGAACTCCAATGAACAGTGTTTCACTTATTTAATTAGAATCATTAGAAAGCCATTCTTTGCCATGATTGACCCAGATTTGAACAGACTTTTAAAGGATAATTGATTTTTGAATGATTTTGCCATGCCTCCTGACAGATTTTTGTTGGCTTAATAGATTTCTATTTTATTTTGTTACAGGACTAGGGCAGGAAGTTTCTTTAAGCTGTATTTAAAAATTTTACTGCAGGTAAAAGGGTGGTATTAGGATCCCTCAACTAACAACAACACGGGCTCATAGTCTAATGTGTGGGGACACATGGGATCCCTGTGGGCCCGATTATATATTGGAAATAGAGTGGATGGTACTTAGAAAACTTGACCTCTTGTCCTTACCTGTAACTAACCCACTACTTCTTTGGACATTAGTTTTCCTTTCATATACAAAATGAGGGATTTTGATCAGATTATCTGCACAACACCTGTCAAAGTCTAAAAATTACGACTCTATGGTCCTAGAGGATTTACAGGCACTCTGGTGGTGTAGTGTCTAAGGCATTTGACTACTAACCATAAGGCTGGCAGTTCAAACCCCCCAGCCACTTCTCGGAAGGAAGATTGGGCAATCTACTTCCATAGTGATACTGCCTTGGAAACCCAAGGAAGGGTCACTATGAGCGGATCTGACTCTATGGCAGTGTGTTGTACTTGTTGTAGAAGATTTATGACCAATCCCTACAGAACTCATGTTGTTAACAACAACAACAGCAAAACAGGAGAGAAAATAGCTAAGACACTTGCCTGCTAACCAGATGGCTGGTGGTTCAAACCCACCAGCCACTCCTCGGAAGGAAGGTAGGGCAATCCTACTTCCGTAGTGATACTGCCTCGGAAACCCAAGGAGGGGTCGCTATGAGTCGGGGCAGACTCGACGGCACATAACAACAACAACAACAACATGACAAAAGAAAAATTTAAAAAATTTCCCTAAAGCCTCACAAAGGAGCTCTGGTGGCACAGTGCCTGAGGCATTTGACTGCTAACCAGAAGGTTGGTGGTTCAAACCCACCAGCTGCTCTGTGGAAGGAAGATGGTTATGGAGCAATCTACTTCCGTAAAGATTTACTGCCTTGAAAACCCAATGGGGGTCACTGTGAGTCACAATTGACTGGATGGCAGTGAGTTTCTTTTGTTTTGTTTTTTGAGAGCTTGACAATGGATGTTGACATTAAAGAATGGACTCAACTCTCTGCTGTCAGGCTGATAGCAAAGCAAAACTCTGAGAGCTGAGGTCAGGGCCCTGTGGGAATGGAAGCCCAAGTTCTTGGCTTTCCTCTGATGAAAGTACTGTGCTATTTTCCACAACAAGTTGCCTATGTTTGATCTGAACATGATTTAATAAAATAGGAAAAGGGACCATGGTATAATGATGAACCAATATAAGAGTAGAGAATTATTAGATATCATCCCAGCAAAGCTGTGCCCTATACTTTTTATTTAACAGTTGTACATTAAAGGCTTGTACAAAGAGTTTATAATTTAGCAACATTTCTGTAGGTTTCAGTTTTAAAAAATGTACAGAATCCACCCAACCCTAGAAACCAATTCAGCCAAATTAACTTTAGCCCAAAACATTTGAGATATTTTCCGATCATTTGTGGTATATAACTCAAAGAGGTTATCATAATTTTCCAGAAGAAGAAACAGAGACATACATAAATTAAATTATTTGCCCTAGGGTCAGAATTTACTCCAAGAAATTTTGCTTTTTGCTTTAGAAAGATATGATCCAGAAGAAGGAGGAAAAAAAGGATGACATTTGAATTTGCTAGAGGCTGTGTTAATCATTGTTGTTATTGTCATCAAGTCAGGGACCTTATATATAACAGAACAAAATGGTGCCCAGTCCTTTGCCATCTGTATGATCATTGGTATGTTTGAGTCTGTTGTGGCTATTGAGTCAAACCCTGTCATTGAGGGTTTCCCTCATTTTCATTTGACTGCTAACCAGAAGGCCGGCTTTTCAAACCCACCAGCCACTCCTTAGAAGGAAGACTAGGTGATCTACTTCCGTAGAGATAGATACTCCCTTGGAAACCCAAGGAGGGGTCGCTATGAGTCAGAATCAACTTGATGGGAGTGAGTTTGTTTTTTGGTTTGGTCTACTTTACCAAACATCATGCCCTTGCCTAGCAATAGGTCTTTCCTGATGATGTGTTCAAAGTAAGCTAGTCAAAGTCTCACCATCCTTGCCTCAAAGGAACATACTGGTTGTATTTCTTCTAAGACTGGTTTGTTCATTCTTTTAGCAGTCCATGATACATTCAATGTTCTTTACCCTTAATAGGTCATTTAGGACATCGGTTGGAAAAGAGATGTTTTTGTTCAAGTTACTTTTACCTGAAGGTCTAGAATTCTTTTAAGGATATTTTTTAACCCAAAACCTACTAGAAAGCATTTTTTTTAGAACTATATTGAAAATGTTTTAAAATAATAATTTAGTTTGTTTTAAGCTTTTAATATGGAGTAATGCCATATATTGCATTTTGTTCATTTCATTCACTTTCTAGGTATAAGTTGCAGATAAAAATACCCATATATCAAGTCAATGTCATACTTACATGATGAATATACCATTTAGCTCTCTCTCTCTCTGTCATGACATTTGAAGTATCTATAGATAACTCTAGAACTCCATTGTACTTTATTTTGTTGCAGCTCTAGATCTGGCTTTGTGAGAAGTATGACTATGTTAGTAGAAAACCAATCAAATCTAGGAAGGAGGAAGATACAAGCGGCTACTTTTCTACTTTGAAGTCTTTTACTAGAAACTATATTCCTTCAGCACTGGATATGTAAAACACCATGCAGAATTTTACATTTTCATCCACAAAAAAAAGGGTTTTATTTTTTATATGATTAATAACAACAATTATAAATCATGTGTATGCACATACATGCACATTTGCTCACTGACACAGGAAATATAATATATACGTACATATACACATCTATCCTGAGGCACTTGACTAACCAGAAGGTTGGTGGTTCAAACCCCACAGCCACTCCTTGGGAGGAAGATTGGGCAATCTACTTCCATAATGATACTGCCTCGGAAACCCAATGAAGGGTCCCTATGAGTCGGGTGTGACTCAACGCACATAACAACAACAACATCTATCTATTGGTTATTGTATACTATCAAGTCAATTCCAACTCATAGTTGGAGTATGACTTGATATACAGAGTATAACTGCCTCAAAGGGTTTCCTTGGCTAAAATATTTATGAGAGCAGATTACCAGGTCTTTTCTTCTGCATAGCCACCAGTAGGTCTGAACCACTGATATTTACATTAACACCTGAGCACTTAACCATTGTGCCACCAAGACACGTCCCCCTGACACCCCCCTCACACACACACATGTACATGCACACACACACAAGCATCTCTCTGTCTCCCTCTCCAGTTTAATTCCATGTTCTTTCAAGGTAGTTTTTCTCTCAGGAACTCTTTCTGCTCTGCCCCCTAGCGCTCAAGAGGTGTAAAGTAGGTCATCTCTGGGCTAAAACGTGTAACACCACACCCACTGCCACTTTATGGAAGCTGACTGCCACACCTTTCTCTCATGAAGCAGCTGGTGGGTTCAAATTGGCAACCTTTTGAGTAGCAGCAGGGATCTCAATGCCACCAGGGCTCCTGTCCATCTCTGGGCTCACAACCAGTAATAAAGAAATGCATGTAGCAGATGTTTTGAATTCTTCACTTTTAGGTATTTTGCTGAATTTCACATTCATTATTTTTCCATATAGGCAATATCTACTCAAATAAATTGAAAGCCACTTTTTCATTTTGCTGTTACTATACTGTGTACTAGTGAAACATCCTTTACATACAAAATCATTGAAATGAACAATTAACATCCATGTTTCAGAGTATCCCACCCTCCGCAAATTATTCTGCCCATTCACAACTGGGAACCAGAAGAGGAGCCTCACAAAGAAGAAGATGTTGGGCCTTTGGTGGAACATATTTATGAGGTAGTTATTTCCATGTTAAAATTGCTTTAGGGGTTTATTCTTATCATCTTTATTATTAAATTCTATTTAACATTTTAAAAGTACCACTCTAAGATCTCAGGTTTATATACATCCTAGATTAGTGCTGGTATAATACATTGCAATGGACAGTGGTGGATGTCTTGGTAAGCAATCACAGATATGCCTCCTTGTTCCTCAGTGATTAGAAACACGATATAGTGGGAAAACTTATCTTGTTACTATTCTTCTTTTTAAAATATTCTTTATTTCCTCTCTTTGTAATACTAGGACAGTCTAAGCATAAAAATGACAAGCCCCCTAGACTTTATTTCATTTCTTTCTACATTTTCAGATATCTTTAAGACCTATCCATCTCTTAAATTGAAGGTTACCAACTAGAAGGAACCAGACAGAGAAGATCATATGAATTATTTACTATTGTACCAAAAAAAATACACATATAATATACAAGATGGATGAACATGTATATGTTGTTGTTGTTATGTGCCATCGAGCCGGACCCGACTCATAGCGACCCCTCCTTGGGTTTCCGAGGAGGTATCACTACGGAAGTAGATTGCCCAACCTTCCTTCTGAGGAGTGGCTGGTGGGTTTGAACCACCAGCCTTCTGATTAGCAGTCAAGTGCCTTAGGCACTATGCTACCAGAGCTCTCAGATGTGTATATAGAGAAGAATAATGTTACTTTTCATTCAGATAATCCAAATTAGAAATGAATGATTTATTCTGAGATTTGAAATAGTTGATTGATTTATAAAATATTTTCCAGAAGCACACCAGCAACACATGAGGTGGGGAATGCCTGATGATCTTTTCCTTCTCTAAGTGTTCAAATGTGAGTGGGAAAGAGATTTATTAATATGTCATCTGAAACATTTTTTTTACATTTAGAAACCAGTAGATATAACAGAGAGTTTAATAGTAGCTGTTGTAGTTTAATAAAGGCAGTGCTATCAGCAGAGAACAATTATTCATTTTTAAGGGGGTAAGAATGGAATTTTGATAAAATTATATTCCAAGCCATTTTCTGTTTGTGGTTCCTTCTTGATGAATGCCTTCTGTTCCTTTCCTGTTGTCATTCATGCCACTGACCCTGCTAATAATTCTGACTTTCACTTTCATCTACAAGGGACATGTGTAGCATACTCTGAGGTTGACACTAAAGGCAGTTACACTAACTATTTACCTATAAGGGGAGGAAGAAGCTTCAACTCCTGTGCAGCGTCAGCATGGAAACCTCATTTGCCCACCCTGCAGCTCAGAATCAAAAGCCCTGCCCAATGCTGGATCAAAGCTTTACCTTAAGCTCTTCTGATAGCAAAAGGATAACACAATTCCCAAGGACGCACAGATGAAAGCACTTTACTGGAAAGAAATACTGTAAAATAATGTATTAAAGTTTTGCATGCTGGTTTCTACCTAAGAATGGTGAAAACTTAAAAGTTTGAAAACATATTCAAACTCAATCATTCTAAAGGAAATCTTGCTTCTAATCTTAGCATAAGTAGATCTTAAAATTTGGGGGTAATTATCGATAGTGCCAAAAGAAGCATTCTATAATCCTATGATTAGGTATCAAATGTTTCTTATATGCTAATCTCATGTTTTATAATATACTATATCAATGGATATCAAGCTTCTTTGATAATGTAAATTAAATGGGCCATCAAAATAAGTAGAAACAATAATAAATTCTTTTAATGATTATTATAAGAACTATGGGGGAAAAAAAATCCCTGCTAACTTTTAGATGAATTTTTAAAACCACAATAAATATACTGTTTTCCACAAACCACTTTGTGTCCTCTGTGAACAGACTTCATGTGTTAAAAATATTCATCTCTATGAGTTGTGGCCTTTCTTTCCTTGAGATTTGCTGATTAAAACAGAAGGAGCTTTGAAACACGTGCTTTGAAACACGCACTTGAAGTGAACTGTGGAGAGCATGGACCGTCTTTGGCACTTGATGGATGGCAGTTTTTCCAGGGGGTGAAAGAGAGTGCATCACATGTGGTTGCAATTGACAAGTCAGTAGTCAGGAAAGAGGAGACACTGAAATGTAGAGAAAGAATAACCAGGTTTTGAAAGCATGTAATTAAAACTGTATTTCTAGTGCTAAAATTAAATTAATGTAAATTTAAGGTAAACTTCAGTATTTTCAGGCATAGTTAACATGGTTTGTGGTCTTTGCCCTTATAGCTTCACAGAGTGTTCTCTATGCACCATCACCTCCCTCTCTCAGAGCTGTTCTCTCCCACACTGACTTTATTTTATTATTTTCCACAATTATATTCCAGTTGATTTTAAATCAATAATATACGTTATTTAAAAAATATAGAATATACTGAGTTTGATTTCATTTTTCTGATGTGTGCTGTATCGTCACATGTTATTTGCTTACAGCTGCACAATATTGGGCCAAGTACCATCAGTGACACTCGTCTGGAAGTGGGTTGGCCATTCTCTGCCCGGGATGAATTTCTCCTCTACATTTTTCACATTCAAACTCTGGGACCTCTGCAATGTCAAACAAATCCTGATATCAACCCACAGGATATAAAGGTAGGAGTCTGTTCCAGCCTGCAGCTTTACTTCTTTTTTTGGGGGGTAGGGCTAAGTAATTATAAAAATAAATTCCTTACCTGTCAATAAGATCTTTTTTTAGTATTATAGTTAAAATCCCAAACCTAATTTAAACTCCTAGAAAACTTAACTTTCTCCTAACTTTATTTCTCATGCATGATAAAGCAGTCAATATGGAAGTGACCTGTCTTTTATTTAGCCTCTTTCAGTATGTAACTTTTATATATGCTTTAATTAGTAGTACAGTCACACTAAAATCTGTAAAAGTAGATATGTGATTATTTTTGAAAATTCAGAAATATGCTGTTGTCAAAATCTTTTTAGTGTATTGCCAAAAGACATGAGGGTCTTCCCAAAATGGGCTTGCCCAGTGGTTGCCAACAGCAAATGGTTAAATGTGATAATTTGCCAAAGGACATCTCAAGGTTCTAATACTCCTAGGATGGAATTTCAAGACCTTCAACTTTTTTTCATCTAAGAAAACTTTATTTCTCCTTCACTTTTGAAGGATAATTTCACTGGGTATAAAATTCTAGGTTAGTGGTTTTTTCTTTCAACACTTTAAATATTTCACTTCACTCCCTTCATATTCACACAGTTTCTGAAAAAAAGTCTGATGTAATTTTTATCCTTCTTCCTCTATAGGAAGATTTGCTCTCTAGTTTTGAGATTTGCTTATTATTTTCTTCTGTAGTTTTTTTCCCCACCCTTCTGGCTTCTTTTCTTTGATTCTCTGTAGCTTAAATATAATATGCCTAGGTATAGATTTTTTTCGTATTTATTCTGCTTGGTATCCTCTGAGATTCCTGGATATGTGATTTAATGCCTGCCATTAACTTTGGAAATTTTCAGCCATTATTAATTCAAATATTTCTTCTGTTCCCCTCTCTCTTTCTTCTCCTTCTGGTATTCCCATTGCACATATATTATACCATTTGTTGCTGTTCCACATTTTTGGATATTCCATTCTGTTTGTTTTTGTTTTTCATTCTTTTTTCTGTTTGATTTTCAGTTGGAAACTTTCCATTGTCCTATGTTCAGGATCACTAATTCTTTCCTCAGCCATGTCCACCAAAGGCTCAGCAAAGGCATTCTTCATTTCTGTTACATTGCTTTTGATTTCTAGCATTTCCATTTGATTCTTTCTTAGAGTTTCCATTCCTCGGCTTACGTTACCAATTTGTTCTTACATGTTATCTACTTTTTCCTTTAGAACTTTTAGCATATTAATCATAGTTATTTTAGATTATCAACCTGATAATTCCAAAATTTCTGTTATAGCTGAGTCTGGTTCAAATACTTGGTTATCTCTTCAGACTTTTTTTTTACCTCTTAGTATTCCTTATATATTTTGCTGTTGTTGTTGAAAGCTGAACATGATGCACCAGGAAAAAGGAACTGAGATAGACAGATAGACAGATTTTGGTATGACATTTTATGTGTATCTGACTAGGAATTAGGCTCTGTTTACTGTTTTTTGTAGGTGTGGGTCAGAAGCTAAAATTTTTTCTAGGATCCTACTCTGTTTCCTGTGTTGTGTTGGGATTTCCCTGGAGAATCCTTAAATAGGGTCTGAGCCTTGCAGTTCTCTTCAGCTGAAATCCTGTTATTATACAACAGTCCTATTGATGTGGTGGTAAGCTGTGTGTGATAGAGGAAGCATTCTATAATCCTATGATTAGGCATCAGTCCTATTGAGCCTGTGACCCTGGCTATGATCTTCCAAGAGATTCTTAGCCTCCCCCTCCACACACTTTTAGGTAGGACAGCAAAGCTAGAAGGAGGCTGAAGTTGGATATTTCCCTTCCACCACTTGTCTGTCAGTTTGTCATACTATGGCAGCTTATATGTTGCTATGATGCTGAAAGCTATGCCACCAGTATTTCAAATAACAGCAGGGTCAACCATGGTGGACAGCTTTCAGCAGACCTTCCAGACCAAGACAAACTAGGAAAAAGGACATGGCAGCCTACTTCTGGGAAAAAAAAAAAAAGCCACTGAAAATCTTATGAATAGCAGTAGAACATTGCCTGATATAGTGCTGGAAGATGAGCTCTTCAGGTTGGAAGGCATTCAAAATATAACTGGGGAAGAGCTGCCTTCTCAAAGTTAGTGTCGATCTTTGTGACTTAGAGGGACCAATGCTTTGGGGACTTCATTTTGCTTATATGGCATGACTCAAAATGAGAAGAAACAGCTGCAAACATCCAATAATAATTGGAATATGAAATGCACAAAGTATGAATCTAGGAAAATTGGAAATTGTAAAAACTGAAATGGAATACATAAAGATTGACATCCTAGGCATTAGTGAGCTGAAATGGACTTATACTGACCATTTTTAATTGGACAATCATGTGGTCTACTATGCCAGCAAAAGCAGATTGAAGAAGAATGGCATCACATTCGTAGTCAAAAAGAACATTTCAAGACCTCTCCTGAAGTACAGTGCTGTCAGTGATAGAATAATATCCATACATATACAAGGAAGACTGATTAATATAACTGTGTTAGACTGGGTTCTCTAGAAAAACAAAAACCAGTAAAGCTTATGTATATGTATATATGGAGAGAAATTTATCTTAGGAATGGCTCACACACTTATAGAAGCTGGCAAGACCAAAGTTCCTGGATCAAACGTCAAGCTGGAGGCTTTTCCTGGCTCTTGCAACTGCAGGGGCTGAAGAGCTCAAGGCTGGCAGGCAGTATACCGGCTGTTGACTCCAACAAATGATGAATCCAAGATTTCCAGGCCGAATGGTGGACTGTTCACTCATGGACAGTTGTAGGCAGCACAACAGAATCCTGATCCACAGAAGAATGTCTGTCTTCCCAGGATGTCCTTGGATATACTGGAAGCAGGCCACACCCCTAGGGAAACTCCCTTTCAACAGATTGGCCACTCAGAACATAGTCATCTGATTCCATCATGGGAACAACCACACCACAACAGCTCCAACCACACAGAATTGTGGTCCAGCCAAGTTGACACACAGCTCCAACTATCACAATAACTATTATTCAAATTTATGCACCAACCACTAAAGCCAAAGATGAAGAAATTGAAGATTTTTACCAACTTCTGCAGTCTGAAATTGATCAAACATGCAATCAAGATGCATTGATAATTATTGATGAATGGAATGCAAAAGTTGGAAACAAAGAAGGAAAACGCAGCCTTGGTGATAGAAATGATGCTGGAGATAGCATGGTAGAATTTTACAAGGCCAATGATTTATTTATTGCACATACCTTTTTCAACAAAATAAATGGTGGCTATAGACGTGGACCTCACCAGATGGAATACATAGGAATCAAATTGACTATATCTGTGTAAAGAGACAATGAAGAAGCTCAATATCATCAGGCAGAACAAGGCCAGGAGCCAACTATGGAAGACCATCAATTGCTCATATGCAAGTTCAAATTGAAGCTGAAGAAAATTAAAACAAGTCCACAAGAGCCAAAATACAACCTTGATTATATCCTACCTGAATTTAGAGACCATCAGAAGAATTGATTTGACTTATTGAACACCAATGACAGAAGACCAGACAATTTGTGGGATGACATCAAGGACATCATACTTGAAGAAAACAAAAGGTCATTTAAAAAAACAGGAAAGAAAGAAAGGACAAAAGTATGTCAGAAGAGATTCTGAAACTTTCTGTTGATTGTAGAGTAGCTAAAGCAAATAGAAGAAATGAATAAAAGAGATGAATGGAAGATTTCAAAGGGCAGCTCCAGAAGACAAAGTATTATAATGAAATATACAAAGAACTGGAGTTAGAAAATCAAAAGGGAAGAATGCATTTGGCATTTCTCAAGCTGAAAGAACTGAGGAAAAAATTCAAGCCTTGAGTAATGAAGGATTCTACAGGCAAAACATTGAACAATGCAGGAAGCATCAAAAGATGGAAGGAATACAGAGCCAGTGTACCAAAAAGAATTGGTCAACATCCAATCATTTCAGGAGATAGTATAGGATCAAGAACCAATGGTATTGAAGGAAGAAGCCCAAGCTACACAGAAGGAAGTGGCAGAAAACAAGTCTCCAGGAACTGACAGAATGAATACCCATTGAGATGTTTTAACAAACAAATGCAACTCTGGAAGTGCTCACTCATCTGTGCTAAGAAATTTGGAAGACTGGTACCTGGCCAACTGACTGAAACAGATCCACATTTGTGGTCATTTCAAAGAAAGGTGATCCAATAGAATGCAGAGATTATTGAACAATATCATTAATATCACATGCAAGTAAATTTTGCTGAAAATATTTTTTAATGGTTATAGCAGTATATAGACAGGGAACTGCCAGAAATTCAAGCCAAGTCCAGAAGAAGATGTAGAACAAGGGATCCCATTACTAATCTCAGATGGATCTTGGGTGAAAGCAGAGAATACCACAAAGTTGTTTAACTGTGTTTTATTGACTATTCAAAGGTATTTGACTGTGAGCACCATAACAAATTATGGATAACACTGTGAAGAATAGAAATTCCAGAACAAAATTGTGTTCATGAGGAACTGGTACATAGACCAAGAGGCAGTTACTGGAACAGAACAGGGAAATACTTCATGGTTTAATATCAGAAAAGGTGTGCAGCAGGGTTCTATCCTTTCACCATAATTATTCAATCTGTATGCTGAGCAAATAATCCAAGAAGCTGGACTATATGGAGAAGAACACAGCATCAGGATTGGATGACAACTCATTAACAACCTGAGATATGCAGATGACACAACCTTGCTTGCTGAAAGTTAAGAGGACTTCAAACACTTACTGATGATGAACAAAGACTGCAATCTTCCGTATGGATTACACCTCAACATTGAGAAAAAAAAAGAAAAAGCTCACTGCCATCGAGTCCATTCTGACTCATAGTGACCCCCACTGGGTTTCCAAGGCTGTAAATATTTTTGGAAGCATACCCCCTCCTATCTTTCCTCTGCAAAGCAGCTGGTAGATTCAAACC